ACACTGAGCCTCTGAATTAGCAACGAGCGAAAAATGCTAACAGATTACTGCACCGAAAATCACTCACAAAACCTTATTATTTATCTTTTCTCTACATCCATGACATCGTTTCACATCGTGAGGTGACACAGAATCGATGGATACCCTCATTATCACTGAATTATACGAAATGGCGACGTTATAAGCAAAAACGGACATCAAAACAGGTGACGCTAGGTAGCTCCAAAGTGGTCTTCAATGGCATTAAAACGATAAAAACACTGGTGAAGTTAATCCATAGGTTAATCCAATGTGTCTGTGTCCCTTTGAAATGATTTCTGATAATACATAAGCAATAAAACTGCTTTTCCGTTTCCAGATGTCAGAGCTAAAGATAGGTTCGCTCTGATGCAAAACTGCATGCGCGAAGCCCCCACCTTTTCTTTTCACAATGAGTGTGTGTGGGGGACTCCCCCTTCGATTGTATTGGCTCTAACGGTCAGAAAGAGGTGTCAACCATCAAAATCGACAAAGGGGTTCCAGAGATATGGAAAATCCACCCAAATGACCCCAGAAGTGGTTTCTTTTTGCTAAATCTCTCTAAAAAGGTCAAATGTCACTTGTTTTGCATCAATCTCGATACAGGGTACTTATTATATGTTGTACTTTGGATTCCTAAAGCTTTTAGTCTACCTTACCATCATCCAAGGGTAGTAAAAAATAATTTTTGGACAGACACTATAATTTACTGTTTTTTACTATGTAAAATCTGAATTTTCTTTAAAATAAAAAACATCTATATTGATTCTGACTTTTCTACATCCAACTCACAGGTTTATCATTACTTTGAGAAAAAATATATGGTAATTTGTTCTGGGAATGTCATTTTCGAGCCTGAGACCTGAAAATCAGGCTCAGGGCTTAACAGGTTAATGTCTTTCATTTTTGTAAAGCACTTTGAATTGCCTTGTGTTGAAAGGTGCTATATAAATAAACTTGCCTTGCCTTGCCTAAGGCCTGCTGCATGTTTTGTTGAATGTGTTATATTTGATGAAAAAAAATGAACATAGATACACACTAGGGGGCAAGTAGAAGGTCAATGATAGAAATATAGAAAAATAGAAAATATCAAGAAGATACTGTAAATGATATCTAGAATAAAACAGTTTAGTGCCGGATGTACAAAGATATTAATAGGAGGAGGTGCAAAACAGACAAACTAATTAGGCTTTATTAACCTCTTAAGCACGGCGGTCCCCCCATTGGACCCCTCCCACCGTTTTGTTTTCGAGATAATGTCTCAGGGCTTCTTAACATTTATGAAACTATTAATGTGTAGCACCAGATTAACGGGAAGAATCTCAGCTAACTGAAGATGTGAACCATTTTTACCAAAACAAAACACAAGTCTCATAAGAAGCGTCTAAATGACCCCTGAGCGAAAAAATTCTAACGCACTGCGGCACACAATTCAAGATAAAGATACCCTTATTACTTATCGTAGCTGCACATACAATATAGCCGATTAAAGCTGAGACTCCACTGATTATTTAGTTATAGTATCATCACTGAGCGATCCGAACTTGCGACAGGGGAACACAGACATCACAACACGTACCTTTACGGAGCTTTTACGGCAGATCGTCTCACCGTAGCTGTCAATTAGGTCAAAAGACGTGTTCAATGGCATTAAAACGAAAAAAAAAAATGCTCCAACTGTTGATAGGTTGATAATGTACCTGTGCCTTTGAAGAAATTATTTATAATCCATAATTCCATTTTTTATGTAAAAATCGGAGCGGAAAAATTAGCTGCTAATGGTAGCCACCAGAGTGTATGCAGCTTCCGGTTTTGGTAACGCGTCACTCTCACTCCTTATTTGTTAACGTTTTGGTGTGTATATAACTTTCCCTCGATTCCATTGGCTCTAGCGGTTATAAAGAGATTTCATTCATCAAAATCGAGCAAGGGGGGCCAGAGATAGGTCAAATCCACCCAAATGACCCCAGAAGTGGGGTTTTTTGGCTAAATCTCTCTAAAAAGGTCAAATTTCACTGGTTTTGCATCAATCTTGATACAGGGTACTTATTATATGTTGTACTTTGGATTCCTAAAGCTTTTAGTCTACTAACCCATCATCCAAGGGTAGTTTTCACTATAAGTAAAAAAGATTCTTTGGACGGACACTATAATTTACAGTTTTTTACTATGTAAAATCTGAATTTTCTTTAAAATAAAAAACATCTTTATTGATTCTGACTTTTCTAAATCCAACTCACAGGTTTATCATTACTTTGAGAATAAAGATGATTAATTTAACCCTTTTAGAAGGGAAGATATGGTCATTTGTTCTGTGAATGTCATTTTCGAGCCTGAGACCTGAAAAACAGGCTCAGGGCTTAAGAGGTTAAAACATTAAATAATACTTTAGGTTAAGGTCTTATTTTAAATACATTTAAGCAAAACGCTTTGGGGGTATCTACAGATAAATATTAAGCCTGACAAAGTACTTAAAGTCTAATATATTGCATGGTTTGTTTTGGGACTTGACAATCAACTTTCCTGCAATATTAACTATGTTGAAGCACTTATTTTAACCAATATTATACATATGTATTGTACTCTTATAAGATGTATGTAGATAGAATAAGTAATGTGCAGAATACAACAGTTTAATGGTGGAGGTATACACACATATTGATAGATGTCTTGTAATGCACTGTTGAGGAACCTGCGACCCAAGTTTTTCATTCATTGCATAACTACACCGTAGTTGTGTATATGATATGTCAATAAACCTTTGAAAATCTTGAAATCTTGAAAGGGATGTGCAAAATAGCCATTATATACAGTTTTTAATGAACGATTAGAGAATAACGAGTAATGAATATGCTTTATAGGGATCTGCAGATAAATGTTTAGTCTTCTCAAGCACCCACTATCAAATATCTCGGGTGCGGGTGCGGGTGGGGGGGGGGTAGGACACGTTCGAGTCCTGTTTTGGATAGTGTGCCGTCGATGGGTTTCATTCCATTTCAAAGTGCTGTTTGACGCTGGGCGTAAACTTCACGCACTGCCACTCCAACATCCAATCATAGAGCTTGAGGACTAATCACGGGGTTTGTCAAGCAAAGCGCATGGTGTAGTCCTAAACGATAGCTGAGGATTATGGGTAGTGTAGTGTCTTCGGCAATCCTAAACTCCTAAAAAATATTTGTTTCTCCGAATCAAGGGGGAAAAATACAAAAGCATTGTACACAATTTAAACCAATCAATGTTATGTAATTAGCAAGGATAATCTGGTGTTTTTGAGTTGATGAGTAGTGCAGATATCACTGTAAAATCAATCGACAGTAAGGAGAATACTTAGTTCCGGGTATAAAATTCTCCGTTATCCAATGGGAATGGACGCTCACATTGCCTTTAACTGCCGCCGACATGGACCGATGCGGTGCTTCCATGAGCGTCAAATACCGCCGCCGATGGGAATACATTGCAATCAGTTGAAAGCTCTTTGCGTCCGTTTATGAAGCTGAAGGGGACTCGGCGCGTCACAACTGCACGCCAAAGGACCCTGACCAAGCGTCGCTATTGGACTATCATGGAGTGAGACTGTGTTGTAGGTGTAGGAGGTCAGCCAGATAGGTGGGGGCCAGGAGAGAGGAGAGAGAGAGAGAGAGAGAGGGGGGTGGGTATAGGATGTCAGCCAGATAGGTGGGGGCCAGGTTGTGGATGGCTTTGAATGTGAGCAGGAGGATTTTGAAGTCTATCCGGTATTTTACAGGTAGCCAATGCAGACGGATGAGGATGGGGGTGATGTGGTCAGAGGATTTGGTGCGGGTGATGATCCGGGCAGCAGAGTTCTGAATGATTTGAAGTTTATTGAGGAGTTTGATGGGAAGGCCTGAGAGCATGGTATTACAATATTCAATACGGGATGTGACGAATGCATGAACCAGGACTTCAGTGCTGGATTGAGACAGGGCGGAGTCTGGAGAAGAGTGCACTCCGGATGATGTTTTTTATGTGGGGTGCAAATGAGAGGGAGCTGTCCAGAATGACACCAAGATGTTGTGTTTGAGTTGTGCTCTTGATAAGCCATTAAAACAATAAAATAAGTGTCTCCTGTACAGCAAAACATACCCATCTGTTATGGAAAAAGAAAGTATTCCAAAAGTATTCCAAAAGTAATCTGAATACGTTTTTAAGACACGTAACTGTATTCGGATTCGGAGCCATGTATTCAGTATTCAGGCACTAATTACATTTACAAAGTAACCCTCCCAACTCTGTATATCTCATATCAATGTTAAAACATATTCTTAATAGATTTCGAGTTTTTGTAGTGGAAGCTGTTCACTAAGTCACTAAGCCATGTTAAGGGGGCGAAGGGGGGAGGAGCAGGGAACTGTAGTTCTTTGAGCAGAACACTAAAAAGGCCACTGGGGGTCAGGTTCAATTATACATAGTGTCAATAAGCAATTAAAAAAATGATATCAGTCTTGGGCCAAGCCAATACTTAGTTAGTGAGCCATCCATTACTCACATTTATCACAAATGGGAGTAATGTTAGTTTTGCCTCACATAAATACATTTAGTTAAACACATTAGACTGTTTTGCCTTTTTAAACTGTTGTGAAAAACGCCCTTCTCTCCTTCTCCCCGCTGCCGGGAGACTGCCTTGCAGTACTAAAGCGTGCAGAAGCAGAGACAGGTGCTGCTTCTGCACGCTAGTAAGCAGTTAGACATTAGCGGTTAGACATTAGCGGTTTTGGAATAAAGCCAGAGCAAACCCTAGCATTGACAAACAAACCTTGTAATCTAGTAGTGCTACTTTGACCAGCTTCCAGAGCTTCATCAGTAAGATGGAAGTTTACAAAGTGTTGCCCTGCTGTAAGCTAGTAGTTGGCTTTTTCTTCTTTTAAACTGAAGACTGAATAACCTTAATCCTTCCCAGCTGAGTAATTTCTTCTCTTTTTTAATGTTTTCAAAAAATGTTTCTCTATCTCCCTTTCTTCTAGTTTGTTCCCAGTTCTCCCGAGGTGTCTACGCCATTTTTGGCTTCTACGACAAGAAGTCGGTAAACACCATCACATCTTTTTGTGAGACGCTACATGTGTCCTTCATCACACCATCTTTCCCCGCAGAAGGAATGAATCAGTTTGTTCTCCAGATGAGGCCGGACATCAAGGGGCCCCTCATTTCATTAGTGGAGTACTACAAATGGGAAAAGTTTGCCTATCTATACGACAGTGATAGAGGTAACTGGATTAACATTGTTTATCTCTGAGTCACTGTATCATCAACTTGTGAAGACACAGCTTGCTTTGTCTGTTATTTTCTCATGATTTATTTAATATCAACAGTATTTGTAATATACTATATTTTGATATTGTAATATAGAATAACAGATGTTGTGTCATTATAAGTGGATGTGTTTCAATATCAGATGTAGTTATTCTTTGTATGTTGAAAGTTACATTTTTTTTATTATTTTATTAAGGATTTTAAAGAAATGTAATGAACAAATGTTCATTGTTGAATTGAGATTTGTTAAAATTAGAACACAACATTTAGAACATAAACCTTTTTCTTGTGTAGACTGAAAATGCAGGGACAATTTACAAATATACTTTGTATATTATATATTACTTGTGTGTGTGTGTTTGTGTGCAGGTCTTTCGACTCTTCAGGTAATACTAGACACTGCAGCAGAGAAGAAGTGGATTGTCACAGCGATAAATGTGGGAAATCTAAAAGATGAGAGGAAGGATGAAGCCTACCGCTCCTTGTTTCAGGTACTATAATATAATATAGATTCTTTCCAATGGCTCTTATCAGTCTAATATACAGTATGTATATTTATATTTATATATACAGTATGTATGTATGTATATACTATATATATGCTCTGTTGTGAAAGCATTAAACCGAACCCTTGTGATGACGCACTCATGTGATAAATATTTTTGTGTGCATTGAAAAATATATTTCTGGATAGAGTAGCTTATATGTAAAAATACTATCCTCAAAACGGAGGTGCGCCCACAGATCACAGGTCAATCCTGAGTTTGAGTAGTGTACAGTGGATAGTGTGGAAGAGTGCATAATCTGAGGTGTGACAATGGTAGCAGGGACTCCACCATTGTGATTATGCTAAATTGCTGGATATATGCAATATTCTGTTTTGCTGAGCTTTACACTACTTGTCATTATTACAATGGTAAATTGCAGAGGTGTGGACTCGAGTCACATGACTTAGGTCGCATTCACACCAGCCTTGTATAGTCCGGTTGAATCGAACCCTGGTGCGTTTAGCCGCTTGGTGCGGTTCGTTTGGGTTGGTGTGAACGCAGTCCGAGACCTCTGAAGTGAACTAATCAACCGGACTCTGGTCCGCTTAAAAGAGGTGGTCTCGGACCGCTTGCAAGTAAACTCTGGAGCGGATCATCGCTGGTGTGAACGCAGTCCGCACCAACACATAGGAAGCGTAGTAGTTATGCGTCACAAGAACGCAGAGGTCTTCAAAATCTTTTGCGAAAGAGTGAAGCAGAATGAAGTGTTGAACATTGTTGTGTAAAGTGAAAATGCTCCGTCAACTATGCATAAAAGTCAGAGCCACCTGTCGTCAGTGAAACCTCATCCTTACTGCAGAACGTCTCTCATTATATGGGTTATAATGTTTTTTATGGCACGTTGTATGATTATATAATATGAGCCGTCCACTAGAGTCTGTTGATATGCTCTCAACTCTCCATATTAACAGCAGCATGAAAATAACCTGCCAATGCCCCATGGTGGAGGCTACAGTAGAAATAGCCGGGATTTGCGTTTTTACCGCATTAATGTCTGACCAATCGTTGAACAGCATTTCCGTGCACATGACTTGTGTTTAAAGTTTATAGTCTGTTTGAGTTTTGCCCGTGTGAACGCAAACCGAACCTTCTGAAAAATGAAACAATGTAACAAACTGTCGTCTGGTGCGCACCAGAGAAGCGGACTATTAGGTGTGAATGCGACCTTAGACTCGAGTCAGACTCGAGTCACAAATTTGATTACTTTGGACTCGACTTGACAACATCGCAAAACACTTGCAGCATGTTGTACATCAGGGATCTTAATTAAACTGCTTCTGAATTAAACATTTCTACAGGTTTCAGGTCTACATTGGAGCACAAAACTAATGACTTTGATGTTTTTAGGACCTAGAGATCCGTAAGGAACGACGCATAATCCTGGACTGTGAACAAGACAAAGTCAAAGACATCATGGAACAGGTTGGTTGTAGTCTTAAAATATATTTTTGTTTCCTGTATTTTTTGTTGGTTTTGTTTTTCGGATCAGGTTTAACTTGGCAAGCCCTGAGGGCAATGCATCTGCTAAACCTTTATTTCTCTTAAGTCCTTTTTGTTAACAACAAACAACATACAAATCATTCACTTAAAATCCTTGATATGTTCTTACATGACTAAATGTCAAGTGTTTATGATTGTGAGGGGACAGTGTAAATGAAATTGCATGCTTCTCAACACATGTGGTGAACTGCCCAACACTCGCTGGCTCTTCACGTTGACTCTGACACTGGTGATATGCTTAGGACATCATGGCAGAGCTATAGGCCTCATTTTGTCAGAATTGCGTTAACTTTCTTAAATACAGCAAAGCTGATTCACACATCTGTATTACACACAGAACTTTTTCAGTTAGAGGGTTTGTAGTCTGGTTGGTCGAGAGTGACTGATCAAAGGAGTGATGTATAAGCCACTGTAGCCCCCTACCCTTTATGCCCTATGTAAATATAAGATCAACTGAACTGGACTTTTTTCCTAGCTCATGAAAAGACCTTTTGGAGATTCATTGTTTTCACAAGACAGCAACGACAGGCTGGCAAATGGTAACACACACAATGATGTATTGACACAGCTTGTACTCTTTTCCCATCAGGTGATCACTATAGGCAGGCATGTGAAGGGGTACCACTATATCATCGCTAACCTGGTGAGCCCCTGTTTATGTCTAATTTAAACAAAAACTGCTATGTATTGCTGATGCATGACATACTGTACGTAGTGGTTGGGACAGGAGGTCAGGTAATCAGAGGGACAAACATTTACAGTCGGGTTATTTTCTCATCAATGATTGGCTCGCTGCACATTATCCCGCTTATTACTGCTCACTGAAGAAAATCAACAATTTGACTAAAAAATAATGTTATTCATTAAAAAATTAAGTTTTGCTTCTGCTATAAAAAAAAACAGCTGGAATTAAGGCGACAGCAACTGTAGCTTAAAACGACAGCAGCACTGATCGAGGTTTTCGGTGATTGTCCGAGTGTGTTCACATTTTCTTTTCTATTAACAGTCGTTAAACACTACTAGAGCCCACACCGTGTTCCAGTATTTTTACTTCCTGTGTGTTAGGGCTGTGCAATTAATCATATTTTAATCGCAATTACGATTTTGGCCTGCCACAATTACGAAAACAACATAATCGAAAAAAACAATTATTTTGCTTTGCTCGGTTGTGACAGTGCATTGTAACATATTTGATCTAATTAATTTTGGTCTAATTTATTTGTATTTATCATATTTATATATGTTTAGTAGCTTGTGGAAGTGCGCTCCAAAATATTTGTTGATCTTGTTTATTGGTATTTATTATTTTGATATTATTTATTTAAATGTATCATTTATTTTATTTATTTTTGTATTGGTTTTTCAGTTGAATTATACGTTCAGGGTAATCAACAGTTAAAAAGATACTGTTCAAATTATTATTTGTTTTTGTTTTAAAGTTCAATAAATGGATTTTTTCAAAGTCAATGAATAATCGTATTTAATAATTGTGATATCAATTATTGACCCAAATAATCGTGATTATGATTTTTGCCATAATCGCACAGCCCTACTGTCTGTCTTCTTCAGCTGATTTCTCTGTTGTCAACTCTCTGTGTCTTTTACCTACCGGTACTTTGAATTGTACCCATTTATTTGTTTCTAAGATCCAATCACTTTTACACTCAGCTGAAATGGACTGGTCTTAGCTGATGTTAGCATAGCACAAAATCAAAGGGTGGGAGAAGTACTCAGATCTTGTACTTGAGTAAAAGTAGAAGTACTCAAGTAACATTTTGAATGCAGGACTAACTTTTCTATTAGTCTTTTAATAGAAAAGTATTCTCATCAAAATATACTTAAAGTACCAAAAGTAAAAGTAGTGATTGTGCAGATTGGTCCATTTCAGAATAATATATATGATGTTTTATAATGATTGATCATGAAAGTGTTCTCAAAGCTGGTAAAGGTGCAGCTAGTTTGAATGACTTTGTATACTGCAGGGTAGCTTGTGAATTTACTCCAGGTGGAACTAAAGTCTGATTTAACACTTGATTATATTTCACATCATTCATCCACATCTGTGAAGTAACTAAAGGTATTAAATACATGTAGTGGAGGAAAAGTACACCATTTACCTCTGAACTGTAGTGGAGTACAACATTGTACTTAAGTACTGTACTCGAGTAAATGTACTTAGTTACTTCCCACCTCTGCAAGGCATAGCCACATTCAGTAGTGCAGGATATAAAAGAAGCCTGATTTTTAACTGCTTTTTTTCTTGTGAATGAAAGCTTGTAGTTGAAGTAGCAGATCTGCCTCCAGTAGGGCACAAATGTGTGGTTCTATGAATAGAACGCAACTACAAAGTCATTAACTGAAATACATGTTGTGTTTATCTTCTTTCAGGGTTTTGTAGATGGCGACCTATCTAAAATCCAGTATGGAGGTGCGAATGTGTCTGGGTTTCAGATAGTAGACTTTGATGATCCTGTGGTGGCAAAGTTTGACCAGCGATGGGAGGCCCTGGAAGAGAAGGAGTATCCAGGAGCTGATTCACGAATCAGAGTAAGATTTGGACATATAACATTAGTTCATAGGCTGGTTAGAATTAATTTAAATTGTTCCATACACTAGCACAATCATGCTTAATTAAATTAAATAATCTGACCTAACTCTCCAGGTACTGAGGAGAACATATTTTGTCATGAAACACTTTTTAATGTTTGCAGTAAAATTGGACATCATATTTCCAATAATCAATTTTTCCACAGCCACTTTTCCCAAAATAAATTTCAAAAAGGTTATGAAACAACCAGTGCGGTAACACACTTAAAAATAATAAGTACCCATTAACAGCGTGAAGTAAAGTAGAATTAAGACTGAGATTGATTTATTATAAAAACGGCTGCACAAAATTATTTAAACAAATGTTGTTTCTATCATGTTTAAAACCCACACAATCTGCCTGGTTGTAGATAAATTGAGATACAATTAGATAAACCTTTATTGAGCAGCCTAGGGAGCAACAACAGAAATGAGATTAAAACATAGGGTAGCACAGGGAGAGTTGACACAAAGATAATTAAGAAAAGAAAATAAAGAATGTAAATACCAGCACATAGTAAAATATCAAAACTTGAATTCAGTGAAACTGTTTACACGTATACAAATGTGAATAATTATGAATATCAAAATATATATCAGAGTCTGTTAGCAAGTGCAAGTCCAAAGTAGGTCAATCAAGGGCAAATCATGTGCCTACGGTGCAGGCTGTCATCAAAGTTCTTAAGTGGGGGTCTGTCTTTGACTAAGCAGCCTGATAGCTACTGGCCGAAGAGGGGTGAGTCTGAGGCTGAACGTGCTCCTCATCCTGCTCTGCATGGAGGTGGGGGGGTACAGTCCAGCTTCCTCCTCATCCTCCCCTCTGCCACCTCCTCCAGATTGTCCAGTTTAACTCCAAATACAGAGCCAGCCTTCCTCACCAGCTTGTTCAGCCCCTTCAGCATCTTATTTTAAAATGTCATCAATATTTTTTTAATACTCTTTTTATATTTTATTTATTTTCAAATGGAACATCTGACACTAAACCAATTTTCCCCTGGAATCATTAAAGTATTTCAGATTCTGAAATAGGCAGCAGGTTATTGAGATGATTTTGATTTTTATAACTTTTTCTGTGTTACAGTACACCTCAGCCCTCACCTATGATGCTGTCCATGTGATGACGGAGGCATTCCGCTTTCTTCACAAGCAGAGAATAGACATGAGTCGTCGTGGCAACAGTGGGGACTGTTTGGCCAACCCAGCAGTTCCCTGGGCACAAGGGGTGGAGATTGAACGTGCCCTCAAACAGGTAACCTCATTAAGAAGAGAGAGAGACGGGCCCATTTCTATTAAAGCTGATAAAAGTTATAAGAGTTAAATTAATTCAGCCTTTAAGTAACATATGTAAGGACTTCATCGTTTTGAAGAAGGCGCTCCTTGAACTTTTTTTAATGTGGTGTTTAAAGGATATATCCTGATATCTGAAGATTATTTAGAGGATCCATATGGTTGATGTGAACATACTACGACAAAAGATGAAATGATTGCAGCAGTGATAACTTCCCACAGTACAACATTCTGTCACATAGCAATCTTAACCAAAAATGAGCTTTTCATATGTAAAATGGTTATTTATATATCTTTTTTTGATTCATTGAGATGCAGGGAGGTTTCTTTACCCAATTTTCTTAACTTAATAATTAGGACATCACCTGTTACGTATTAGTATGCTGTATTATTACTTTCAGTATCATAAATATGTTTGTGTGCAAACTTAAATGTGTGTGTGTGTGTGTTTCTATTCATCAATTACATTGAACCTCTTGTATGTTGTGTACTTGTATGTGTAGGTGCGTGTAGACGGATTAACAGGGAACATTCAGTTCGACCAGTACGGGAAGAGGATCAACTACTCAGTGACAGTGATGGAGCTGAAGAACAATGGCCCTGTTAAGGTAACTGAACAATCAATTTGCAATATGAATACTTTCAAAGCTGTAACTGTGTGGTATGTAACCATATGTGTGTGTGTTTATGTCTATTCTTAGATTGGCTATTGGAACGAGGTGGATAAAATGGTGGTGACAAAGTCAGACCTTTACCCCAATGATACCATGGGAATGGAAAACAAGACAGTCATTGTCTCAACGATCCTGGTAATAAACAAATGAATGACATTCAATGTGAATGTACAACTGCAGAAACACTCAATATTGAAACCGCCACAAAGCTACCAATGTTGCTCATTTCTCATTTCCTGAAAAAATAACATACTGTTTCCTATATGATAGTGATGCTAGTGGTGTGTGTGTGTGTGTGTGTGTGTGTGTGTGTGTGTGTGTGTGTGTGTGTGTGTGTGTGTGTGTGTGTGTGTGTGTGTGTGTGTGTGTGTGTGTGTGTGTGTGTGTGTGTGTGTGTCTGTGTGTGTGTGTGTGTGTGTCTGTGTCTGTGTGTAGGAAGCCCCCTACGTGATGATGAAGAAGAATTCCGAGCAGTTTCAAGACAATGACCGTTATGAAGGTATAACTTATCAATTGTATTTTGTGTGTGGGTGTCTGTTCATTCTGTAATTACTTTCTAAATGAATTTCATTTACTTTGTTTACTCGATATTTGAGTTGAGTTTATGCCAAAGGGCCTGTCTATATTCTCGGGTGCTTGTCTAACACTGCTGATGTGTCTCTTTGTGCATGTGTGGCTTTTTTTGGACTGATGCTAGGTTATTGCGTGGATTTGGCTGCAGAGATTGCAAAGCATTGTGGTATACGCTACCAGCTCAGGATTGTGGGGGATGGCAAATACGGAGCGAGAGATGCAGAAACCAAGATCTGGAATGGTATGGTTGGAGAGCTGGTGTATGGGGTAAGAAATTAAATGTTTTTTTTCATGTTGGAACCAGAAGTGGAGAATGTTGTTTTTGGTGAAGCTCCAGATTTCTCTGATGTCATTTCAAAGACCTGACTGTTATGAGATCACTGTCCGCTACTTATTGTGCTTTTTGCCATACTTCCCATTGGGACACACTCATGCACTAAAAACAGCATACTGTATATAATTTGAGACACAGCATCAGTTTTTCTTTTTTCTTGGACCAGATATTGGCAAGGAGCATGCTGGGCAGTGTTACAGCATTAGGTCCTTAGGTCCTGGTGGGGAAAAATAAATAAAGCCAACTGTCAAATACTGTCACTCTGTCTTTTTGTTTCTAACAGAAAGCAGATATCGCAATTGCTCCTCTGACCATCACTCTTGTTCGTGAAGAAGTGATAGATTTCTCCAAACCATTCATGTCTTTGGGAATCTCCATCATGATCAAGAAGCCGCAGAAATCCAAACCAGGAGTCTTCTCCTTTCTGGACCCACTCGCCTATGAAATCTGGATGTGCATTGTCTTCGCCTATATAGGAGTTAGTGTGGTTCTCTTTCTGGTAAGTCAGACTGCTTATCTGTATTTATGTGTTTTTGTATTCCTACCAGAACTCTTAGGTAATGTCAACATGGTGGTCATACTTTTCAGATGTGGGTATGTAATATACATTGAAATGTTGTCTGATGTATTACCATGGTTTCTGTTTACTTTATTTTGCCAATATCTTAACTACACAGGGCAAAGACTAATGTGTTTATACGGACAGAGTGTGGAGCAGTGCAGAGACAGCGGACAGCTGAAATCAGGTTTCAGATTGTTTGAATTACGTGGTTTTATGTCATTTAATGTTGCAGCTAGTTAAAATGGAGTTCATATACTTGATGACTCATTTGAATACGGGAGATTCACTCATTATTTTAATGGCAACTAAACACAGGAACCAATGCACTTTGTAATTTGTAAGGATAAGTGTACTACATACTTTTTACATACTTTTGTTTTAAATCTTGGTTTCTGTTAAAGGTCTCCTATCATGCAAAATGCAGTTTTTGATATCTTTTATATATAAATATGTGTCCCCAGTGTGTCAGGGAACTCAAAAAGGGTCAGAAAACAAAACCCTCTCTCTTTTCCTCCGTACCCAAATCTCTAAAAACGGGGGCTAAAGCCTGATTAAGCTCTGGTTCTTCCTGTTTCCACCGCAGCAGAGCCGCCTCTAAGCACCGAAAACCGGTTCTTAGCTGACCCCACTCGGCTGCCCGGCAAGAACAAAGAACCAATACTTCACGCTTACGTCGGAAGGGGCGAGATTAACCTGAGTTAGTGGCGAGTACGGCAAATAAAAATTGTAACAAGCAGTAGCGCTGAGCAAAGTGACTATAACGTGACCACACACTTATAAAAAAACCACAATTAAAAGTCAGGCCACACTAACCAGGCTTAGTGTGATTCTGTTTATTTTGACCTTACTTTGACCATCCGTTCACTGTTATTGACCATTGTGTAGAGCAGGCAGACGTTTTCCTGTTGTTTTGTATTATAGCAGCTCAAGGTTCAAGGTTCTTTATTTAGTCATACGAACATAGCTACAGTGTAGTTATGCCGATGAAATTCTTAGGTCATAGGCTTCCTGAACAGTGCAACACAAAACACAGATAAACAGAAAATATAGTGCAAGTAAATAGTAAATAAAAAAATAAAAATAGTTGAAAAAAGTGAAATAGTGAAATAGTGCAATAATAGTCTACATCAGGGGTGGGCAAACTTTTTGGCTCGGGGGCCACTATGAGTTTTAAAATTTGACAGACAGGCCGGGCCAGTAGCAGATCGGTAAACAAATATTTAGCTGTCCACTCCTCATTAAACACTCGGCACTCAATGTTGACTTTTCTTTTCTTTGGTCCACTCATTGTTACAGATGCAGGTTCAAAGGTGAATTAGGTTCAAAGGTGAATTATTGCGTCATCGTTTGCGTCATGACGTAACCGTTTACGTGCCTTCTTATGACCCACACAGCATTTTACGTCGCAGATTTTCTCCGCAACACCGCTCACAACAACATCAATAGAGGACTGCGTCGGGTAGTTTTTAATTATACGAAGCCAGATTAAATTAAAGAACTACTTCTCCAACCTTGTACCTTTCTCCAGAGTGCCGTGGTGCATTGTTTATTAATGTGGTTCAGCTGCATTACTGCCTGCTGCAGTGCTGCTCGTCTACCGGAGTTTATTCTCCCGTTAACTCACGGCAGCGGCCGCTGTAAAGTATTCACTGTCTGACTGTCACACAAGCAGCTGATAAATATCCCCCATCCCCATAAGTGAATGTGTTTTAGTCTGAAAGCTGTTCGGCATCACAACGCTGTTATGAAAGTTTCTCTGGCATTCTACAGGTGATGTTAGCATAGCAACCGAAGCTAATCAGACTATCTTGACTACTTGTTGCTATCATATTGTGGCATAAGCCGTTTTCTACACGCATATTTTACCGGCGTAGTTTTCGTTATGATTTTACTTGTGATGGCCACATGTAGCCCATGTATTGATTCCATCCGATAGCTGCAATAATTCAGAACAACAGGAAAACGTCTGCCTCTTCACAATGGTCAATAACAGTGAACGGATGGTTATTAAAGTAAGATAAAATAAACAGAATCACACTAAGCCTGGTTAGTGTTGCCTGACTTTATATAAGTGTTTTTTATAAGTGTGTGGTCGTGTTCTAGTCACTTTGCTCAGTGCTACTGCTTGTTACAACTTGTATTCGCCGTACTCGCCATGAACTATTATTGCTCAGGTTAATCTCGACCCCCTCCAATGTAAGCGTGACGTATTTGGTTCTTGGATCTTGCAGGGTTGCCGAGTGGGGCCAGCTGAGAGAATAGACCAGACTCCAGCAAAGGTCAATTGTGTCTAGAGTGCGCCATCTAGTGGGATCAACTGAAATGCCGGGTATTGCAGGAAAAAGGCTAAATGAATTTATACTATAATTTGGACAATTTTGTACCAATATTCGGCGGGCCGGATTCAAAAGCCCAACGGGCCGTATATGGCCCGCGGGCCTTAGTTTGCCCATGCCTGGTCTACTTTCAAGTTATTGGAATATGATATATTTAAGCAATAGCTCATGACAGGCTGTGGTATATGCTCATTATATCACAGCTAAGGGGCGTGGTTCGGCCTGACGCGAAGCGGAGGGTCGACAACCCCCTTAGCTACAGTCTTATTGCCTGTGGGATGAAACTGTCCCTGAGTCTGGTGGTTTTAGTCCGGATTAGCCTTACGATTGAGGGCGGTGCAGCTGCCGTACCAGGCCGTGATGCAGCCAGTCAGGATACTCTATGGTGCACCTGTAGAAGCTGCAGAGTATCCTGGAGTCCATGTTGAACCTCCTCAGCCTGTGGAGGAAGAAGAGCCGCTGTCGAGCTTTCTTGGTGATGGTGGTGGTGTGAAGAGTCCATGTCAGGTCCTCAGTGATGTGGACACAGAGGAACCTGAAGCTGCTGACTCTCTCCACCGTAGTCCCATTGATGGCGATGGGGGCGTGTCCCTCTCCCTGCTGCTTCCTGTAATCCACAATCAGCTCTTTGGTTTTGCTGACGTTGAGATGGAGGTTGTTATCCTGGCACCAAGATGTCAGGTTTTCGACCTCCTCTCTGTACGCCGCCTCGTCGCCGTCAGTAATCTGGCCGATGACGGTCGTGTCGTCAGCAAACTTCATGATGGTGTTGGAGCTATGTGTGGCCACGCAGTCGTGTGTGAACAGGGAGTAGAGGAGAGGGCTGAGCACGCAGCCTTGAGGGGCACCGGTGTTGAGAATCAGGGTGGAGGATGTGATGTTTCCCACCCGCACTGCCTGGGGTCTGCCCGTCAAGAAGTTCAGGATCCAGTCACAGAGGGCGCTGTTGAGCCCGAGGTCTCTGAGCTTGATGACCAGCTTGGAGGGCACAATGGTATTGAAGGCTGAACTGTAGTCAATAGGGGTGTAACGGTATACGTATTCGTACCGAAATTATTCGGTATGGGCCCTTCGGTTCGGTACACACGTGTGTACCGAAGTGTAACGTTAAACGTGAAAAAATTGAGAACGTGAACAACTTTTTGGAAGTAATCCCAGGTGCTGCGTCGCAGCATTCAGTGTAATTGGCTACTTTGGGTTCAACGCGTCATAGAGCGACCAAGTCATTTCATTGGACGAGAGGCATACTATGAGAGCTGGTCACAGGGATGCGTTCAAATTTAGTCAGTAATTTGAGGAACTGGCGAAATGGCGAACGCAGATAAAGTTGAGCTCAAAAATCCTCCAGCATCATTGAAGTCTCCGGTTTGGGAACATTTTGGTTTCGCAGTTACGTACAAGGATGACGGACAAAGACAGGTGGACCAAACCAAATCTATTTGTCGGCATTGTTCAACTAAAATTGGTTACGCGGCTGGCAATACATCAAACTTACACACATATTTGAAAAGGCATCACCCGAACGTGAATATCACCGGTACCAAAAGAAAAAAGACTGAAGTGCAAACCCAACTCCCACTAGCATTTAAGCCTCCAACACTCGCAAAAAGTTCAGACCGAGCCAAAGCTATTACAAACGCCAAATATCCTTATGTTAGCAAAGCGCTACCTGGCTGTATCTGCTACCTCTGTCCCTAGTGAGAGGGTGTTCTCCACAGCAGGAGACATTAGTGCCAGCAGATCTGCCCTTTCGGCAAGCAATGTGGACAAGTTAATTTTTCTTTAAAAAAACATGAAAATACAATGACAAGCAAGTCCTAATGTCAAGCTGGCTGCTTAGGGGAGTACTAGTGCAGTACAGTTCAAGTACAGATTATTTCAGATCATCGAAATGCTGCACCTTAATGTTTATTTTATTATATCTTTTATTTATTTGAGTGAATACATTATTCACAGTCTAATAATAATAATAATAACATTTAAAAAAAAAAAGATGTTGTGTTTTGTGATCATTCATTCTGCTGTACCGAAAACGTACCGAACCGTGACCTAAAAACCGAGGTATGTACCCAACCAAAATGTTTGTGAACCGTTACACCCCTAGTAGTCAATGAACAGCATTCTCACACCGAAAACCAAGAAGTTCCAGAAAAAACATAATGCTCTGCAAGGAGTGTGTGTGAGATGTGTTCCTATGAACGGAGCGCTATATCACCATGCAATCGAATGGAAAAGTGTTTTTACAGTGGAAGGGAGAGGGGGGGGGGGAATCTGTAGAATAAAGGATTATATTTTCTTGCAGGTATCCAGATTTAGCCCCTATGAGTGGACACTAGAGGAGCCAGAGGACGGAGCGTTGCCACTAACAACCGAATCCACCAATGAGTTTGGGATCTTCAACTCCCTGTGGTTCTCTCTGGGGGCTTTCATGCGGCAGGGTTGTGACATATCACCAAGGTTGGTATCGCAGTTAAACCATTACAAACATTACTTGTGTAAGAGTGAAGGCATTTCTGAAATATAATTTTTAACATGAATCCACAGTTTCAGAGGGCTGTTTCTCAGCTTGTATTTATGAATCAAGTTGTATTGGATTGCTCTTTATTAACAGGATAATATGTTGTCAACTCTGATGAATATACATGAGGGTGAGCATGTCCTCTGATCTGTCACCCTGTTTTCTGCTCTGATGAAAGGCTTGTGCTTCCCTCATTTGTTGCATAGTTAGAACATAAAACGAATGTCCTGCTTTACTGCAGCATATCTTCATATGTCTGTGCTGCAAACCCATCTCCAATGAGTTATGTGTATATGCAATGGTTTTGCATTTAAAAGTACACTTTGAATAATATGATCTAAACATAGGTGTTTTCAGATCAGTGCTTCTCAATCTCTTTTTACATAAGGGACCACTTTTTATCATTTTAACATAACAATACCAGTACATAACAAATTAATTAATTCACATGTTGAACATATAACACCTGCAGGAAGCTGTTAATGTTAACATGCTTAATATGTGATAGGATACATTTTGAGCAATTATTTCCTGTAAAAGAAGCAACATATATTATGTATTTTATCATTTTATTGTAACTGATAGGAAATTCAGGGTTTTCCTCTCCCAACTCTTGACCATTGTTCTGTTAGCTCGTTGTTTGTTTTAACTGCATATTTTTATAATGCAGGAGAAGGCTGTTCGGCATTGGCAAATGGACTTATTCCTTTGAATCAATAATTAAAAAAAAATGACAATTTAGTTTAGTTGTACTTTTAGTATAGTACACAACTTTGACACAAGGGCCCTCAAAAAAATGACAATTTAGTTTAGTTGTACTTTTAGTGTAGTACACAACTTTGACACAAGGGCCCTCATTTATAAAACGTTGCGTGGGATTCATGTGAAAGGCTTGCATCGGGACACAATACAGGAAGTAAAAAAGTATTCTGTACACAAAAAAGCACACAAATATTCAGATTTATAAAACAGTGCGCACACACATCCTACACCGGTTTCCCTTTATAAATCAGAATGTGGATCAGCTTTTGAGGGCTTCACGTGACTGCCATGTTTGCCTATAAATGATCAATGAAATGTCCCTTATTAATATTCATTTATATATATATATATATATATATATATATATATATATATATATATATATATATATATATATATATATATATATATATATATATATTAGCCATAACTTACTGTTGTGAAAAATGTATATAGAAATGTATTGATTGAGTAATATATGTCAAATATATAAAATGTTTTACACATAACATCAAGTAAATGATATCCTGACTTCAGGGAAGATGGCTGAGAGATTAGGTGCATAATTAACCAGCTCTCACAAGTCGGGCTAATCATCCCTCTAAAAACTATAACTAATATCCACTCAACCCTCCAACAGGGAACTGGGGAATGGACTTGCTCCCCACAGTTGGAAGTCTCTTCCTTTTCAGGTTCAGTTTTGTGTTAATGTTTCATGTGTTTTTTATGTTATTAATTGTGTCAGATTGAGGAATGTATACTCAAAGAAAGATCAGGATGCAATTTAAAGATCTGAAAATGGTGTCCCTTAACGGGTTAAACAATGCAGTAAAAAAAGCGAAGGTTATAGCAAAATTGAAAAAGGAATAAACACAGCTATCTACAAGAAACACATCTTACAGCGCAAGAGCATGAAAAACTTAAAAAGATGGGATTCAAGAATACATTTTACAGTTCATATAAAGGCGGTAGTAGTATCTACTATCAAATACAACAAATAAATAAGACATAAGGAAGGGAGATATATACTTGTGAAGGGGACAATAGAAGACGAAATGACCACATTAGTTAATGACAAAGACATTAACTAAAGCAACGAGGTGATACAGCGCTTGCCCAAACCAATTCTGACAACACGTTCTCTCTCCTAACTCGTTCTATAGTGATGTTGTGTCAGGATCCCTTGGCGTTACTTTTTAACACACTGGGGGGCCCTTTAGCTTCGACAGTCAACTATCAGGGACTCCCATTGACTTGCATAGAGCTCCCTGAACGTCCGTAATAGACGAGTTGAGATCACGGAGAAATGCTCTCCGCCGAACCATTCTCACAGCGTTTATCAACTTTTGTCTTACTAAATATCAAGCCACACTTATTGTTTTGACTTCATTATTTTAATTGTACAATGACGGACTTTTGCAGTCCATTAGGACCGAGAGTCGGAGCAGGTCATTCGAAAACAGGAAACTGTACTTTTTTTTCCAGGTTACTTTTAATTTCAAACTGAGAATGAATTTTAATATTATTTTTGATAATATTCTTTTTTATTAACTAGAGCATTGGGTCATGTTTTGACCATATTTTCTGTGTTGCTGTGGGGTTTTCCCATCGGTTTGGTGTTACAAATATCAAAACAATATAGTAATAAGCCTTATCAGCCATAACTATCATCCAGAAAGTTGTGAATTCCAGCCGATCAGCCAACTGACGGCACGTAAAATGGAACGCAGCCCAGCCACGACAAACGACAAGACATAACAGGATTCTAACGAGTCCCCCCAAACACCGGAAGAACTATACATGCTGGCTATTTGTGTGTTTCGCAACATGTTCTATGGTGCGTCTCTACTGGGAATTGTAGTTTTAACATTAATTTGTATACTTCCCATAATTAGAATTTGCCAGTATTAAACTGTGTACACCCCTGGAGGTTTAGGGGATGGAAAACACATTGGTGTTATCAAATTTAAAATATATAATTTATAAATAGGTGAAAATTGCTTGTGTTCATAATGGGCAGCATCCATATACCCACAGCTCAGGTCAGAAGAGCTTGATTTAACAGCTGTACTATGTCTGTGACCCCCCTGTTGTTAATTGATAAGCCTTGAAACATGCATATGTCAAGGTTCAGAGGCAAATTTGGCAAATATGGCAGTATCCATCCATCATCTTCAGATTAACATGATGTTAAGAAATTGATTTTGATAACAATTTAAGCAAAACCATAACGGTAAACCACAACCTTAAATACACAAGTTTCTTTAACCTCTTAAGCCCTGAGCCTGTTTTTCAGGTCTCAGGCTCGAAAATGACATTCCCAGAACAAATGACCATATCTTCCCTTCTAAAAGGGTAAAATTAATAATCTTTATTCTCAAAGTAATGATAAACCTGTGAGTTGGATGTAGAAAAGTCAGAATCAATATAGATGTTTTTTATTTTAAAGAAAATTCAGATTTTACATAGTAAAAAACTGTAAATTATAGTGTCCGTCCAAAAAATCTTTTTTACTTATAGTGAATACTACCCTTGGATGATGGGTTAGTAGACTAAAAGCTTTAGGAATCCAAAGTACAACATATAATAAGTACCCTGTATCAAGATTGATGCAAAACAAGTGAAATTTGACCTTTTTAGAGAGATTTAGCCAAAAACCCCCACTTCTGGGGTCATTTGGGTGGATTTGCCCTATCTCTGGCCCCCCTTGCTCGATTTTGATGAATGAAATCTCTTTATAACCGCTAGAGCCAATGGAATCGAGGGAAAGTTATATACACACCAAAACGTTAACAAATAAGGAGTGAGAGTGACGCGTTACCAAAAATGGTGGCTACCATTAGCAGCTAACTTTTCCGCTCCGATTTTTACATAAAAAATGGAATTATGGATTATAAATAATTTTTTAAAAGGTACAGGTACATTATCAACCTATGGATCAACAGTTGTAGACATTTTTTTTTCGTTTTAATGCCATTGAATACGTCTTTTGACCTAATTGACAGCTGCGGTGAGACGATCTGCCGTAAAAGCTCCGTAAAGGTACGTGTTGTGATGTCTGTGTTTGCTTCCCCTGTCGCAAGTTCGGATCGCTCAGTGATGATACTATACCTAAATAATCAGTGGAGTCTCAGCTTTAATCAGCTATATTGTATGTGCAGCTACGATAAGTAATAAGGGTATTTTTATCTTGAATTGTGTGCCGCAGTGCGTTAGAATCTTTTCGCTCAGGGGTCATTTAGACGCTTCTTATGAGACTTGTGTTTTGTTTTGGTAAAAATGGTTCATATCTTCAGTTAGCTGAGATTTTTCCTGTTAATCTGGTGCTACACATTAATAGTTTCATAAATGTTAAGAAGCCCTGAGACATTATTTCGAAAAAAAAACGGTGGGAGGGGTCCAATGGGGGGGACCGCCGTGCTTAAGAGGTTAAAAGATACACCTCGCTTGACATTGCAGAAAAAGTTGATAGGCAGCAGTGGTGTAAAGTAACTAAGTACATTTACTCTTAAAAAATGTATTTCGATAAGCAGGTCAGCTCCATAGTCAAAACCTGCCTTTTTAAAATAAGACTTTTGGCCAAGATCAAGTCGTTTTTGTCTTTTAAAGACCTAGAAAGGGTTATTGATGCCTTTGTTACTCGAGACTAGATTACTGCAACGCTCTGTACGTGGGTATGGACCAGGCCTCAATTAAACGCCTGCAGCTAGTCCAGAACGCAGCTGCACGTCTTCTGACTGGACACAAAAAACTTGACCACATCACCCCAATTCTGGCCTCACTGCACTGGCTTCCAATTCGGTTCCGAATTGAGTTTAAACTCCTTTTATTTGTTTTTAAAGCCCTAAATGGGCTGGCTCCGGCTTATATAGCCGAACTCCTCCATCGCCACACCCCAGCCAGAGCTTTTAGGTCTGCTGACCAGCTGTTGCTGGTAGTGCCCAAGACCAGGCTCAAAACCCGAGGGCACCAAGCCTTCGCAGCAGCTGGCCCTAGGCTCTGGAACAGTCTGCCCCTCCATGTGAGGTCAGCCCAGACCCTAGGGGTTTTTAAATCCTCACTAAAGACACACTTCTTTTCTCTGGCCTTCTAGTCAGAGCGCAGCACGACACCTGACATTTCCCTGTGTTTTGTTTTTATATTTCTGTTGTAAATTATTGTCTTTTCTTGTTATTGT